AATCAATCAAAGACTACTGCGAAAATAATTAGGGATGTTTCAGATTTGAAAGAGAGACTGAATTTAGATGATCGGTCACTTGCATGAGTAAAGAGAGTGAAAGGAAGCTTTTTATTGCAGGAACCTCAATTCATCTCTTCTTCTATGTCAAATATGTTTACAGTATACTTAGCATTTTGTATATACTGTAGCCCGTTTGGTCTCCTGTACCATGGTAGTGCATGAACTTCCTTAATGCAGTGTTGTAAACTCTCATAACCTTAAGTCTTGCAATATTTGACATTTGTCTTAAAACCCCACCTCCAGGAGACATGTAATTTTGTGAGAATCTCAGCTTTCATTTTTAAGCAAAAATAAGTTTTTAGCCTTTGTGGCTGTGGAACTTGAAAATGTGGGCCCAAATGGCTCTGAAAGCTAAAGGCAAATTAAAAATACCCTAAATGTATTCGCATTATATTTTGGAGCCTGACTGGGGATTTTTGAATGCCTGGGGTTAGCAGTGTTGCAAATATAATGTGGGGCAAAATATCCTGGTAGAACTCAGTGTTCTTTGAAATCCCATAACATTACATACAGCATCATACTTGGCTTTATTTTTAAGTTTCATTTTAATTGTGATTTAAAATGGTCATCTTGTTATCATAGCATCATAGAATCATAATGTTAGAAGGGACCGCAAGGGTCACCTTATCTAACCCCCTGCCACGATGCGGTATTCATTGTGTCTCAACCATCCAAGACAGATGGCTATCCAGCACCTTTTGAAAAGTGAAGAAGCTTCCACAGCCTCCCGAGGCAGTCTGTTCCATTGTCCTACTGTTCTTACAGTTAGATTAAGTCTCAGGAAAAACTTCCTAGATCTGCCATGCTATGAACCCATTGCCTCTTGTCCTGCTCTCTGTGGCAAAAGAGAATAACTTTTCTCCATCTTTTTTATGACAGCCTTTCAATTAGCTATAGACTGCTATCATATACCCCCTTAATCTCCTCTTTTCCAAACTAAACATACTCAGTTCCTTCAGCCTTTGCTCATATGGCTTGCATTCCTCCCTTTGATCATCTTTGTCGCTTGCCTCTGGATCCTTTCCAGTTTATGTACATCCTTTCTATACACTGGTGACCAAAACTGGACATAGAACTCCAGCTGAGGTCTAACCAGCCCCAAGTAGAGTCGTACTATCACCTCCCGTGACTTGCATGCTATGCCTCTGTTAATGCAACTTTGCTTTTTTTGCAACCGCACTGCATTGCTAACTCATGTTGAGGTTATGATGCACCACAACTCCCAGGTCCTTTTGAGCAGTGCTGCATCCAAGCCAGTTTTCCCCCATTCTGTATTTGTGCATTTGGTTTTTCTTCCCTAAGTGTAGCACTTTGTTTGTCCTTGTTGAATTTCATTTTGTTGTCTATAGTCCAGTTCCCCAATTTATCAAGATCCCTCTGAAATTTAGCTCTATCCCCCCAAATATTGGTAACCTCCCCTAGCTTTGTGCCATCTGCAAACTTGATCAGTGTGCTCGCTATACCTACATCCAGGTCATTAATGAAGACGTTAAACAATACCAGACCCAGAACAGATCCCTGTGGAACCCCACTTGAGACCTCCCTCCAGTCCGACATCATTCCATTAATAGTAACTCTTTGTTTGTGGTTGTTTAACCAATTATGTATCCACTTAATGGCAGGGGTGCTGGAACAATGTTAATAGTGGGGGTAAAGAGAGCCATTGAGCCAAACTGTATACCCATATATGATGAGAACCATTTCACATCCCCTGCACCACTAGTTCCAGCACCTATGCTTAATGGTAGTTCTGTTGAGCCTGCATTTCTCCAGCTTACTTATCATAATATCATGTGGGGCTGTGTCAAAAGCCTGTCTGAAATCCAGGTATAGTATATCCACTGCATTCCTCCTATCCACCAAATCAATTATCCTGTCAAAGAAGGAAATCACTGGTTTGGCATGATTGTTCTTGATAAATCCATGTTGGCTGCTAGTGATTACCCCTTCATCTTCCAGGTATTCGCAAATTGAATGTTATATACATTGCTGTAGTTAGTAGCTTCCCGGGTATCGAAGTCAGGCAGACTGGTCTGGAGTTCCCCAGCTCCTCCTTTTCAAAGATGGACACTGTTAGCCCTTCTCCAGCCTTCTAGGACTGTCATCTTGTCTTTCAAATTTCTGTGAGTCAGGGAAAAATTCAGGCACAGCTCCCATTGACTCCAGTAGGAGTAGTGTATTCATCAGAGACTGAATTACATCTTTAAACCCTGATTCTGCTAGTTATTCCACACGAGTGGACTCCTGCAACACAGCAGAGTAATCTGCAAAATTTTACAGTCTGAGGCTCCATTTCTGCATGTGCTCAACTTTACTCAGATCTTCATATGCCTAAACTTCAATGTGTGTGTTAACGGAGTCTTATTAGTGTATTTGGAGAAGAATTTTTCCAGAAGGAGCTCAATTTTCAAACCTTAATACCTTAAGAAAATTTCCAAATCCCACACTAAAACTGGTACCAGATTTTTAAAGGTATTTAGTCACATAGTGGTATTTTCAGAAGCATCTGGGTACCTAACTCCCATTGAAATCGATGAGTTTTAGGTGTCTAGGTGCATTTTAAAATCCCACTAAGTGCCTAAATGACAAATAAAACTGACATTTTTGTGCCTAAGTGGCAATTTGAGCATCTAATGATGGATTTAAAAATCCTATTTAATCAACATATTTGACATTGGACCCAAATATTCTCAGTGTGAGCCTGGGGCAAGATTTATTTTTAAATGTGAGCCTAATCATTATTTCAGCTTCTAAATAAGTGACTTTGCTCTTCAATAGTGCTGAGGACTGAACAGCTCCCATTACATTTAATGGAAAACTGCTGAGCACTTTTGTCTTTATTTGTGTGATGGGTAACCATGATCGGAACAAATGGTTATGTATATTAGCTAGATAACAATTAGCAGGTTTCAAGTCAAGAGAACGTTAAAAGAAAAAAAATAATCAAAAATATTAATGATATTGATAAATCACTTTCTTTTCTTTTACTTCTGAAGTACTTTTATGGCTTAGATAAACTTAAAGTGTATTTCAAGCAGTATTAAGCTAAAATCTTCTTATAGCTTGCCAGAGAATTTAGGGAAAAGAGATAATGTTGTCAAGACCTTTAAAGTCTTTCATCAGACGCGTAGCATCAGGAACTGAGATTTGTTGTCAGAACTGTTTAAAGAAAATTAGATTTTACTTTTTTCTGTATATGCCATGGAAACCCCCTTGAGCCTTTTTGTCAGGTGTATTAAGCCTTAAAGCCTAAGCCACTTTAAACTGGAGTACTGTACAGTATGTCTATTCATTTTATTATCTCATTCCAGAACATATCACTTGCCAGAAAAAAAAATTGTGTTGCTTTGTTGTCAATTCAAGTCTCAGTAGCCAGTGTTGATTAAGACACTGACTCAGAAAAGCATTTAAGCACATGGTTAAGTCTAGCTGTCTTGTGGGGCTTAGCATGTGTTTAAGCTTTGTTGAATTGGGACCTAATAAAACATACCACTATTAAATGCTGTAGAATTAGAACAAAGAAGTCAAATCAGCTTTGGCTTGAAAATGCTTTAAAAAAGAATGAGCAGTTCGGCTCTAGAATGGTTTTATATCCAAAATGGGTCTTGGGAATAATTTGTAGAGCATATACCAGAAAGTGTTTTCAAGTTGTATTTTATAAAAGCCAATGCTGGGAATTCTTTGGATTCATTATTGTGCAAAGCTAGAAATTCTAGTTGAAATTCCAGGTTACAATTTGAGGTTTTTACAAAGCATATAAAACAACCAAGGCATTCTCCTTCAGGAGTGTCAGTAACACGTATGGCAATACATGTCAGAACACTAACCTTAACATCGTATGAGACAGGACTCACCATGGAAATTATCAGTGGTGATTATATACTAGTAGGATCTGAATTTTCGATTGAACTGCACTCATAACTTCCACTGGGCATTTCCATTGCACTCTGTGGCAGAGCCAAAGTTCTTATTAAGTTCTTACTGAGTTCTTACACGACAGCATATCCATTGATGATACTGAACATTTTGCCTGCATAAGGCATTGAGTAATAATTTGAAGGTATGACCTGTCGTTTATTTTTTTAAACTATTTTCCTAAAAGCAAAGGAAGAATCTTGGCATTGTTGGATCTGCTTCGATCATTAACTGGCCATCCATTTCTGAGGTCTAGGAAATGAATGAAACCGAAATGATTTTATTCTGAATATAATTTTAAAATCAACTCATTACAAAAGTATCAGAGAATGAACCTGAACTTGAAAATCTTTCTGATAGACAGACACAAGTTAGTTTTATTTTACATATTCCAATGCACTCATCATTTAAACACTCCAGACAGCTCAGGGAGCAAGACTTGAAAACAAACTGTTTAAGAAAATACAACACCGGAAGGATAATAGTCTGTGAGCTTAAGAACAAAACAATCTTTCCACAGAACATTTTATTTTGGTTCAGTCAGTTTTCAGAAAAGGGTGTTGATACTGACTTTGGCTCAATTATGCTATTAAGATGTAATTCCAAACATCATGGTGCTGGGGAGCTCCTTAAGAGACTAGAATTGACAGCCCGTATAGGGATGTGACTTGGGTGTGTCCTCCTCTAGTGGTGACTGGGCCACATGCACAGGTTGATGAGGCTACTATAAGCTCAGTGACTAGAGCTGAGTCTTTCAGCTCAGTCAGTAGAGTCTCATGTGTTTGGAATCTAGAAGTCCCTTGTTCAATCCCCACCGGTGAGGTACCTGAATGTTACCTGAGTGTGGGAGATAGGATAGTTACCTTTTTTTGTCTGCAATCTATGTAGTTTAGTAAGTGTAAAATATATTCTTCTCTTTCTGTGGGTAGAAGGAAAGAAGGGAAATTGATGGCCTACAGGATTCTGTGGCTTGATAAATGCTAATTTAAAATGTTCGCATTTTTTTGTTTTTATCTCAACAGAAAAGAGAATAATCAGTCTAAATGTTCAGACAGTCCCAACATACAAGACAATTTCTAATGTTATTGGGTATTTAAAGGGATCTACATTTCCCGGTAAGTAGACCTCTATGACTTCTATTATTACCTTTATTATTATTAATTATGTGTACAACAGTAATCCTAGGGACTGCAATAAAGTATCATGTTCCTGTTGTGCTATTCAAATATTCAATTAAAAAGGCTATTATAGCTCCAAATACTTTGATTTATGCCAGGAAACAACAGGAGGATTAAATAGAGAATTGGTTAAAAAGCAAGGAGAGATGGTACCAGTACAACAAACATGTTTTTGCACAATAAACAATAATTGTCTTTATAAACATTCATGATATTACTGTTTTGTCATTTATGTTAAGTAAGTCTTAGGATTTCAAATTCTAGAAATTACTTTAGTGTTTGACTTGTTCTATGTAAGCAGTCTATCTGACCTTAGCAAAGGCTTAATTCTTCTTAAGTGTGGACTATTATTACATTATATTTTTATTATATATTTGCTAGTATTGCAGGAAGCAGGTGCAGTACATCAGTCAAAATACTGGAAATCAACGGTTTTTCTTATGTTAGTGGCCAATCCATTTGCAAATTGAATGAATTATTTTTTTAAGAAGTAATTGAATGCAAGAATCTCACTGTGTGTGATTCGTATATGTAGCAGTGGTTTGTACTGTGGCTCGATCGTGAACAGATTGCTAATAGAAAATAAGACCTAGAACAAGCTTTAGCCATGTAGTCCAGGACCTAGAACCTACCGTGTTTATAGTGGAGATGATGAACATGCAAACCTTTGCAGTTTTACCTTTGATAAAATTTAAGACCCAGTTCTGCAGTCTTCTTTATGTTAAGTAGTAGCCTATACCATGAGTATTCCCATAGATATCACTCTCGGAATAAGATACTATTCCACATGAATAAGGGTGGCAGAATCAGGTCTCAATAGCAACTGGGACATCAAAACACACTCAGCTCACAAAATTTCACTCAGTTCTAATACTAGTAGTAAAGCGTGCAATTATAACAGGTTTCAGAGTAGCAGCCGTGTTAGTCTGTATCCGCAAAAAGAACAGGAGTACTTGTGGCACCTTAGAGACTAACAAATTTATTGTAGCATAAGCTTTCGTGGACTACAGCCCACTTCTTCGGATGCATCGAAGAAGTGGGCTGTAGTCCACGAAAG